CCCCAGCTCCAGGGCAGCCGCTGCCAGGACAACAAGTGCTCCCGCTGCCAGGAGGGCGAGTGCAACATCAACAAGCAGAGCGGAGAGGTCTCCTGCATGTAGGTGCCAGGGCAGCGGGGCTGGGCACGGTGCTGTGGGGACCCTGTGTGCCCACTCGTGCTCTCTGCCCTGCAGCTGCCCCAACGGCAAGGTGGCCCCCAGCTGCCTCACCTGTGACAACTACTGTCTCAACGGTGGCACCTGCACCGTGGGCGACAAGACGCAGCTGCCCGAGTGCCTGTAAGCATGGCCGGAGTCTGGGACCGTGGGGGAGGCGCCGTCGCCTCCCCTTCAGCGCTGCCCATTGCCCCATGGTACTGACGTTCCTCTCCGCTCCCACAGGTGCCTGGCGGGGCTGACAGGGCCGCGCTGTGAGGACGTGGTGCTCAGCGAGCCGCAGAGCAGCCGTGCGTAGCGGGGCGCTGCGGGGAGGGAATTTCCACAGGGCTGCTGGTTTGCCCGGCACCTGGCCAGGAAAGCCAGAGCTCCTGCTCCGGGTCCCTCCCGGCCCGGCTGCCGAGCCCTGGGGTGGGCAGGGGACGGTGGCAGTGGCACAGCCGTGCAGCCGCTGACGGGCACTCGTGCCTGTCCTCCCAGGAGCTGCTTCCATCGTCATCCCCATCCTGCTGCTGCTGCTGCTCCTGGCCGTGGTGGCCTTTGCCTGGTACAAGTGGAGGATCAAGGGGTAAGTCGGGCGCTGGGGCTGGAGGAAACATTGCATCCCTGGCCTCTCCAGTGCCCTCTGGCGCTGATCCCAGCCCTGTTCCACCCCCCAGTGCCAAGGGCTTCCAGCACCAGCGGATGACCAACGGTGCCATGAACGTGGAGATCGGGAACCCCACCTACACCTACGACGGGGAGCCTGACGACGATGTGGGGGAGCTGCTGGATGCCGACTTCACCTTGGACCCGGACAAGGTGGGATGCGGGGCCGGAGCGCCGGGCTGGGCTGGGCTGTGGGTGCCCTGTGCGACTGCTCGATGCTCTCCACAGCCCACCAACTTCACCAACCCCGTGTATGCCACGCTCTACATGGGCGCCCACAACAGCCGCAACTCACTGGCCAGCACCGACGAGAAGCGAGAGCTGCTGGCACGGGGGGCAGACGACGAGCTGGCCGACCCACTGGCGTAGGGCAGGCGCAGACGCCGGGACAGCGGGGCCGGGGCGGCCCAGGGCCGCTGTATAAATGTACAAATGAAGGATTATTACTTTTCTATGTGAGCAGTATTATTACCTGTATATTCCCCGGTACCGGGCCCTCGCGCCCCTCTGTGCCAGATCCGACTTTGGTTTGGTTTCAGTCTCTTTCCGTGGGGCCTCCCCACTGCCGGGGCGGCCGCGAGGCCGGTGAGGGAGCCGGGGGCGACATGCGGCGGGGCCGGGCGCCTGGCGCTGCCCGTTCAGCAGAGACCGGGGAATCGTGCAAAAAGCCGGACGCCGGCAGCACCGGGTCCAGGCAGGAGGGTGCAAAGCGCAGGGGCTGCTCCCCCCGCTCCTCCCTACTCCCTGCCCTTTACCTGCGTCCTCTCCACATCCCTGTGTCCCCCTCTCCCTGCATCCCTCCACACTCCCCTCCCTGCACCCTCTCTTGTCCTGGTCTTCCTCCCCTCCTGCTTTTTCCCCCTGTTCCCCCTCCATGGCCTCTGTGGCCTCCCCCGCTCCTTTCTTAGCTCCCCCTGTCCCTCCTTCCCTTCCCTTTGTGGCATTTTCAGCTCCTTGCTGCTGGGGGGCCCTGGTGAAGCCCCCGGCCCGGCCGCTGCGGCCCCCGCTCCGGCTTGCCTGCACCTCGCCCGCTCCAACATGCACATTTTTTAACAGGAGAAAAATAAAAAACACACTCAAAAAAAAAATCAACATGGAAATGACCTAGCTTTTATAGTAGAAATAAATAAACGCATGTGGGGGGAGGGCAGGGGGCGACCCCATCCTTTTATTGGGGGGAAATGTTTTAATAATTTTTGCTGGATTACTTTACAACTAAACAAAACAGATATTGTTATAAATAAAATTTTTAAAAACTGACGAGGCGGCTCTACTTGTTGGCGATGGAGGGTGGCTTGTGGGCCCGGGGCGGGTGCGGCTGGGACTGGCCCCCCTGGCTCCCCAGGCTGAACCCTGCGCCCTGGACCGAACCCCGCACCACGGGCCGAAACCCCCACCCCGGGCCGAGC